AAAAAAAAAAAACACCAAAACAACCAAACAAAAAAACAGAAAGAAGACAGAAAAGAAAAAGCATGCTCTCTCTAGACAGAATACCAGGAAAGGGGCAGCTTAGCAAGACAGTAGCTGCTTAGACATTTCCTCTTCTATTCCAGCCAAATACTGCAGAAAAAATTACAGACCGATTACCGCCCCTGCCAGCAAAGGTCTAGTGGGAAGCCTAGACTTCCACCCTCACCAGGCTGTAACAAGGTGCTCATCACTGCCTGCTCCATTGCCTGGGGAGTGTCAGAGAAGGCTGAGTTCAATGCTAAGACCTCAACCCTACTGGGTGGTAGTAAGCACCTTGCCCTCTATCTTCAGAGGACACATAGGGAGCCTGGATTTTCACACTCATCTGGCTGTAATGAGAATCTCCGCCTCCTCTCAGCTAGGGAGTACCCCTGCCAAGAAGTACCAAGCCCATTCCCCAGGTATCAACAGGGGCAGAGGGGGAACCTATACTTCAATTACCCTCTGGCAGTTGTCAGGCAATGGCCCCCTGAACCTACCAGAGTGGCATCAGGAGGTCTGCTAAAACACAAGATTTAAGTAAGACCCAGAGTCCTATAACTTAATACCCAATATATACCCTCTTAAATTAAAAAAAAAATCACTTATACCAAGAACCAGGAAGATTTCAAATAGAACAAGAAAAAATATGAAAACTGAGATGATAGATGTTAGAGTTATCTGACTGGGATTTAAAAGTAGTCATCCTAAGAATACTTCAACAAGCAATTACAAACATACCTAAGACAAATGAAAAAACAGAAAATGTAGTAAAGACATAGAAAGTCTTACCAAAACAATAGAAGATACAAAACAGAGCCAAATAAAGAATAAAAATATGGGAAGATATAATAGGGACTGAAAAATACAAATCTGATTTTAAAAACTCAATGGATGTGCTGAAAAGCAGAATGGAGAGAAGAGAATAAGAATCAGTGTGATATAAAGGTAGAACATAGAAATTACCCAATTGGAATAATAGAGAAAAATTAGACTTAAAAAAAAAAAACACACACGTACAGAACACAACTCAGGAACATGTGGGACTGCGACAAAAGTCTGGAGTCCTGTAGAAGAGGAGAAATAGGATACAGCTAAAAAAGTACTCAAAGAAATAATCACTAAAAAGTTCCCAATTTTTGCAAATGAACAAACAAACATACAGATTCAAGAAGCTCAGCAAACCCTGAACGGAAAACAACCCATAGAAACTCATGCCAAAATATCATAGTCAAACTTCTAAAACCTAAAGACAAAGAAAGAAACCTTAAAAACTGCCAAGGAGAAACAACGCCTTACTTATATGGGAAAAACAATTTTAAAGACAGTGGATTTCTCATTAGCTACCATGTAGGCCAGAAGGAAACAGGATCACATTTTTATTTTTTGAGACAGAGTCTTGCTCTGTCACCCAGGCTAGAGTGCAGTGGTGCAATCTCAGCTTACTGCAACCTCTGCCTCTTGGGTTCAACCCAAGTGATTTTCCTGCCTCAGCCTCCCAAGTAGCTGGGACACAGAGATGCACCACCAAACTTGGCTAATTTTTGGTATTTTTAGTAGAGATGGGGTTTTACCATGTTGGCCAGGCTAGTCTCGAACTCCTGACCTCAAGTGATCTGACTGCCTTGGCCTCCCAAAGTGCTGGAATTATAGGCTTGAGCCACCACGCCCACCCAGGATAACATTTTTTAAGTGCTGAAAGAAAATAACTGTCAGCCCAGAATTCTAAAGCGAGCAAAAATATTCTTCAGTAATAAGCAAGAGACAGATATATTTTCAGATGAAGTAAAACTAGGAGATTTTGTTCCTAGCAAACCTACCTTAAATAAATGGCTAAAGGAAGTTCTCTAGGCAGAAAGGAAATGATAAAAGAAGACATTTTGGCATATAAAGAAGGAAGAACATGGAAAGAACAAAAATATGGGCAAATATAGTAGACTTTCCTTCTCCTCTTGAGATTTCTAAATTATGTCTGATGGTTAAAGCAAAAATTATGACATTGCCTATCTGTTTATATGTTTCAATGTATGTTGAATAAATATTTAAAACAATCTTATTATAAATGGTAGAGAATAAAGAAGCAAAAAGGCAGGTAAGGTTTATATGCTTCGCCAATAGTAGTAAAATGTCAATACCAATAGACTTTGATAAAGTATGCGTATATTATGTAATAACTAGAACAATTCCCAAAAAGGTTATACCAAGAGGTATACTTAACAACAACCAACATTGTACAAGCTCCTCCAGAAAACAGCCAACATTACCCTGATACCAAAACCAAAGAAAGAAACTACAAAAAGAGAAAAATGCAGAGTAACACCTCTCATGAATATGATGCAAAATTCATAAGAAAATATGAACAAGTAGAACACAGTGACATATACAAAGAACTATATACCATGACCAAGGGATGCAAGGATGGCTTAATATTTGAAAATCAATCAATATAATTCACCATATTAATGGGCTACAGAAGAAAAATCACATAATCATATCATGAATGCAGAAGAAGCATTTGACAAAATTCAGTACTCACTCATAATTAAAAATTCCCATAAAACTAGGAATGGGGGGATCTCCATAACTTGATTTAAAAAATCTACACAAACATATAGCTAACATCATACCTAATGGTGAAAGACTGAATGCTTTACGTCTAAGACTGGGAAAAAGACAAGGATGCCCCCTCTCTCCACTGCTATTCAACATAGTATGAAAAGTCCTAGCTAGTGAAATAAGTCAAGAGAAAGAAATAAAATCTGTATTCACAAATCCGAAAGGAAGAAATAACACTATTCTTCTTAGTAGAGAACATGATAGTTCACACAGAAAATCATAAGAAAGCTACAAAAAAACACAGAGAATAAGCAATTTTTAAGGTCACAGGATACAAGATCAATATACACAAATCAATGGTGCAGTCATCCCCCAGTATCTGCAGAGGATTGGTTCTGGGACCCTTCCCCTTCTGACATATACCAAAATCTGTGTATACTGAAGTCTGATAGTTGGCTCTGTGGAAGTTGTATATATGAGAAGTTGGCCCTCCATATACATGGATTTTGCATCCTGTGAATACTGTAATTTTGATCCTCACTTGGTCGAAAGAAATCCACATATAAGTGGAAGTGGACCTCTGCAGTTCAAACCTGTGCTGTTCAAGGGTCAGTTGTATTTTACATACTAGCACAGATGTCCAAGGGGCCATGGAGCAACTGGAGTTTTCATACTTTGCTGTTGGGATTGTAAAATGGCACAATTAGAAAAACTTTTGGCAATTTCTGATACCATTCAACATACTCTGATATGGTTTGGCTCTGTGTCATCACCCAAATCTCATCCTGAATTGTAATGCCCATGTATCAAGGGAAGGTGGTAGGTGATTAAATCATGGGGGCGGTTTCCCCCATGCTGTTCTCATGATAGTGAGTGAGTTCGCATGAGATCTGATGGTTTTAACAGTGGCAGTTTCCCCTGTGCTCTTTCTCTCCCGCTGCCTTGTGAAGAAGGTGCCTACTTCCCCTTCCTCCTCCACCATGATTGTAAGTTTTCTGAGACCTCCCCAGCCATGCTGAACTGTGAGTCAATTAAACCCCTTTTGTTTGTAAATTACCCAGTCTGAGGCAGTATCTTTATGGCAGTGTGAAATGACTACTACCTACCTTTACCATATGACCCAGCAATTCCACTCATGAATATTTACCCAAGGGAAGTGGAAACATAAGACTAATACAAGAAATTCACAGCAGCCTTATTTCTCAATAAAACTAGTTGCTAACACATCTGGGATTGTGTCTCTGAAATAAATAGCCATTGGGAGTTACCTTGGGTTTTGTTTTCTAGTGAACCCATGTCAAGACATCTTCATTCACTCTTTCTCAGGAAGCTTCAGGAGAATGTACACCACAAAATGATGATGGAAACCAAAACCAGAGAAATACAGGAAACAGGAGGGAAATGGGTGAACAGCACAGAAGAGAGACAAAGGTAATCTCCAGGCTGATGGCCACAGGAGACTCTATCCAACCTGATGACAGGTGCACCTGCACTCATGGCTGCTTTTCAAAAGAATATGGCTATGGAAAGGATAAATAGCCTGGCTCATCTAATGATGGTGTCTTACATGTTAGGCAGGTGACACAAATGTCAT